ATCCCAGACTCTCTGCCGATCTCTCCTGATGACGGCGAGCACGCAGATATCTACAAGTTAAGGATTCGGGTCAGAGGTAACCTCGAGTGGGCGCCGCCGCGACCACAGATCATCTTCAACATTCATCCTGCACCCAAGTGAGTCCGCATCATATGTATTTTGATCTTTGTGAAAATACATTTATTTATTTATTTTAATTTATGTAAGAAAAATAAATAAAAGTATACTACAGGGATTTAAGTGGATACAGTAGGTGGAGAGGAGGAGTCTAAATTAGGGTTCTGTTAGCACCAATGAACTTAATTTATATTTTTCAGGAATAATGGTGATGACTGTGGGCTCTATCACAGAAAATTTAAAGACGCTTATATTTATTAATCATTTCAGACATGCACTGATCAAGTAAGAGACACAACTGTTTGAAATTTGCATTTTTTTAACTAATTCTTGTCTTTCAGGAGGAAGATAATTGTGGCTAAACAGAACTACCGCTGTGCTGGCTGTGGCACCCGCATTGACCCAGGTTATAACCAGCAACAACATAAAAGCTAAAGGAATTGTTCTGCGTGCACATCCTTACCTTACCGCCCTGTGTTTTTTGTTGCCTGTCCCTGCCTCAGACTACATTAAGCGGCTACGTTACTGCGAATACCTCGGCCGGTACTTCTGCCAGTGCTGTCATGAAAACTCTCAGGCCGTGGTTCCCGGCCGGGTGCTGAGGAAGTGGGACTTCAGCAAATACTATGTCAGCAACTTTGCCCGGGACCTGCTGAGCAAGATTTCTGGAGATCCGCTTTTCAACCTCAACGATATCAACAGCGAGCTGTACAAGAAAAACAAATCTCTGGAGACTGTTCGAGTGAGTGCAGAGGCAGCAGTGACATTATCATGCTCAGACTAACATCACCAACATGCAATATCATTAAGAAAGAGTGTTGCAAAATAATTCACACTCTGTCTTTATCTTATATCCTGTATTTGAATTTATTTTTGCAAGTGCTTCAATGAATTACTGCACATACTTCTGATTTTCCTGGAAAATATAAAGAGATGATGGTTGACTTGAGACTTTTGCACCATACAGTAACACAGCCTTACAAGTCATGTTTATTTTTGTCATGCACGGTGAAGTAAACATAATTTTCTAATGTCGTATATTCAGGTTTTGAGGATGCAGCTTTTTCACATGAAAAATCTCTTCAAGACGTGTCGCCTCGCTAAAGAGTAAGAGATCTCTGCTTTCTCGTAGTTTCCAATCATTTCACAAAGCTCGGTAACAAACTTAATTCGATTGTGTACGTCTCTCTCCTCAGCTTGTTGGACAAGTTCGACAGCCTGCCGGGTCACCTGACAGAGGACTTTCACCTCTTCTCCCTCAACGACCTCACTGCTGTGCGCAACGGGGAACTGGGTTCCCGAATGAAAGAGCTGCTGAAACTTGGTACCATGCACGTAGCCAGCTGTGTGGTAAGATGAGAGTCAGGTTCCTCTATAAATTAAAATGGGCTTTTGGACAATAACATCAACAAATACTCTGCTTTTTGTTTTTTTTCATGTTGATCTAAAATGTCCTTTTCCCTCATCTTATCCTCAGCTGTGCCAAGCAAAAGGCTTTGTTTGCGAGTTCTGCGGGAACGACAAAGACATCATCTTCCCTTTCCACCTGAGCAAGTGCCAGCGTTGCGAAGGTGAGCCCTCTCTGCTGGTGGCAGGCCTGGGTGGGGCAAGGCCCTTCTCCC